AAAATAAAATGATCAAATAATTTTAAGTACCTATATATATTGTTTGGAATATGTTGTTTATATATTTAAAATTTCATGTGAATTGCTTTTGTTTTGAAAAAGTTATGCGCGTTTATATTATATAAATAATATTCCAAAATTTTTTGCACCATACTGTATATATTAATAAAATCTTTAGATTTTTATCTTTATTTTAATATATTTTTTATTAATTTCTATGCAATAGTTTTTGAGTAATAAATAAATAAAAAATTTCAAAATTTTTTATACCACACTGTATATTATTTGGATTAGAGAATTTATATATATAAGTTATAATTTGTAATACCAATTATTTTAACATTTAAATGAAGACTTCTATATTTGAATTTTTATAAAAATAGTTTATAATATCTTGAATTTAATTGTCAATTAAACTCAAAATTGCACTTGCATTACATATTATTGCTTGTGCTCTTTCTATTTCTATTCCATAAATAATGTATAGATTTTTTTTAATATTCTTTGACATTATTACCAATGTTTTTTTTTTTTTTAATTCTGCAATCAGGTTGGTGTCATATATTTATTAAATTATAAAGAACCATTACACACATAAAAATACATGCAAAGTACAAATTTTTTTGATCCAACTCACTCGTTGATAGCTAAAGTTTCTAAATGCAATTTATGAAAATGATATATTGTTTCTCTAAAAGATGGGATTAAGATCCTGAGCTTTCAATAGAATTAAAACCTGCAGATCACCTCCACAGTCACGACCATAAATCCAAATTGTGTTACTTTCTCTTGTAGAAACTACGCAAGAGAAAAAAGGAATAAAAAAGGAATTTTTTGACAAAAAGAAAAGAAAAAAAGCTATTATCTATTTTAACTATTATTGAAAAGGTTATTTCAATGAACTTAAAACTCAAGCTCCTCATGGTTTTCTACTTCTCACCACCTGTGGCCAGTCAAACTGTTTAATTTCTATTGAAGTAGTCGATGTTCAAGAATATTTAAAAGCACTTCCAGGAAAGTATTGCTTGAAACTTTATGCTTGAAGATTTCTAACCAGAAAGGATGTTAATTTTCTATTGTTAATTGCTTTCCTAAGCCATGTCTTTTGGAATTATTGCTTCACTTAACCTGTGGATAGTTTCAAGATCCCTTTCTCCAACCATTTTTAGGATAAATATCAGTACTTCAACTTGTTACCAGATTGGGATAGGACTTAGACCTTGTTACTACTTCTTGTCCTCAAGAAAGAATAAGGATGAAAAAAGAAAATAAAAGGATGAAAACAAAAAGGAGTCGCACCTCTTCTACTTACAATTTCTACTTCATCTAATACTTCCATACTACTCCTTCAACCAAAAACCATTCAACTTTTTTAGGAATTAATTACATCATCAGTTTGGTGTTGCATAACTGGGAACATGTGATGAGTACATGTCTTGTTTACTTTTTCTGAGGCTGATGTGATCAACCAATCCATGGCCTTGACTAATCATCTTTCAGAAGATCTGGTGTAATAAAAAATTCAGGGTCAAATTGAGATAGGCAAAATTCTTCAAAAAAATCAGAAAAAAAAAAAGAGAAGCCAAAGAGATAATAGAAAGACTGGAGACTTCTTTGTTTTTATTTTTCTGGATTCTTGAATCTTTTGAAAATCTTTGGAGGATATTTTTTCTTGTCAGTTTTCTTTCTAGAAAGGTGTTCTTGCCATAGACCTTTTAGTTGGGTTTCTTGTATTTAGTTACCAAAATAAATAAAAAAAGTGTTTTGAAAAAGAAAAATAAAATAAGTGATAGCTTCTGCTCACTCTGCTAATTAAGAAACCAGTGTTATTAAGGAAAGTATATAGACTTTATTATTATAAAAACAAAAAATCTTTTAAGAACATCTGTTTTTTGGGTTGGCAAAAGAATCAGTAGAAAGAGTTTTTTTTATTATTACCAATGTCTTTTTTGATTAATAATCAAACTTATTTATACATTTAATATTCTCAACTCAATTCTTATATATTTTATTGTAGCAATACCAACATAAAATATCTTTTTATTTAATTGTTGCATGTAATGTGCTTTGCCTCTAAAAAAAAAAAAAAAATATCTTTTTATTTAACTTTTATTGCTAGAATAAATAAAATCGGCTATATTTGTGCTGTTATTTTGGTAGATCCAATTATTTTTATAACTTCTAAGGAGAATTTGTATATCAAATACATTATTAATTTAATTATTAATGAATACAGATAAATCGTTTGCTCTACTCTTTTATTATATAGAATCCTTACTCTACTTGATTAGTAGGTATTGATTCTGATTGTGTGTTTTATGCTCATGGGTATCAATAACAAGATTTACCTCCTTTTGTATATCAGATGTGCTTTGCATTGATCCTTAAATTTGAAGTTTCTTTTTTCTGTTTTTCTCTCCTATTTTCTTTGTGTATTATTTCTACAATCTTAACTGTATCGTAATTTATAGTACCTTATGATAAAGATTCGGGTAGGGGATCAGAAGTAATGTTTTCTCATCTTCAGACTGACATCATATAATAGGTAATGGAATGGATAATGATCCTTTATGCTCATCTTTTATTTTGGAAGAAATAGCACTTTGTACCTGAATCTGGGTATCTACTGATAATTCTGAACAAACCGGAAAATGCAGAATGTGTTCATTAATAGTGACTTGGGTCTGTTTCTGTTCCAATTTCGTGACACTATCTTTAAGCTCTACATTTTCAGCAGTAAGCATTGCAGTATCTGTTTTATGTTTCTTTTCTAGCTCTTCAATCATTTTCTTCTAAAGCTCGCCTCAATCTTGTGTTCTCAACCTTGACTTCAGAATTCTCATCAATATGAAGAACGAGCTTAAGATTTACCCCTTTCAACGAATTTATAATTCTTGCTTGTCATTGTTTCATATAAAAATATACTGGTTCGTAAAAAACGCGTTAACGCGCTTTTTCTTTATTGATTGTAATGAAATCGAAAAGAATCACATCCATCTATCGTATAAGTTATGAGTTTTTATTTGTATGAACTATTTATGCTATTATAATACATTTTTTTTATTACGTAAATCACTCTCAGTAGCCTTTAGTGGCGACGCGTAGACGATAGAATCATTTGTATGTTGAGATCCACCACGTTTAAATTTTTTGTTCGATTTATATAAAAATTCCATATGGGCCTGTAATTTCATAATACGGTTCTAATGATATAATAAAAAGTTCGTTAAGACTTCTTTAAAGCAATAATCGAACTAATGGTAGGACTTATCACCTTAAATTTAATCATTGTTTGGATTATATTGAATAGATTCTCTAGATCCAGTGATGTATCGGGAATCGTAAATCCATTAAATTGATCAACGAGATATATCCCGTCCACCCAATGCATCGAATACATAAAAAATTCTTTTCCTAAATTATTAAAGTATATCTGAGATTAGTAAACACTAAAAAAATCGATAAGTTGGATCATTACATACTATTTACGAGTAATCCAAAAGTTTCTAAATCTTCGAGACCTGGGGCCTTTTCAGGTAATGATTTTCGAAGGTTAAAAAGAGCCATTTGCATAGCTATAGGTAAAAATAATATTATCAGTGATTTTCACAAAAAACAAAATTATATTGAGATTGTTCTTTTACCTTTAAGCATTTTTTCTTTATCATCATTATATTTCTTGTCATCACGTTTGAAAGCATTTCCGATTACTTCCCCAAATGCTACTTGAACCAACTTGCTTCCAACCTTCATGAATAGAACGGCATCATGATACCAACCTCCAAGACTCGACCTACGCTGATCCAAATTTCTTGATAGGTCCAGTTGTTTTTTTCGATCTACATTTTCGACTTCACCGCTGATTGAAAATAAATACAGAAAATAAAACCTTAGAAAGTCAGCATAATATGAAATTTACTTACGTCTTCATTATGGCTACGGCATTTACATCAAAGAAAAGTCCTTCCCAAATATAATTTATAATTCGACTTCTATACGCATATTCAGATGCATCCGGATCATCTAGAGGGCTGAACGGTGTCTGAAGACACAATATGCTACCAATTATATATGTTAGTACAATAAGTTAAATAAAAAAATTATAAAATATGCTTAAAGCTTCTTACAAAGCGTTATATACTGATTGTACCCATCGAAGATGATAGTCTCTTTCGAACAGATAGAAATGCTGATCTTCAAACGGGCTTTTACAAATGATACTTTCGACTTTATTTAAGTCTACATAACATTTGATGGTGGCATCCTTTATACACTTGCCGTACTTCTCTAAAAGTAAGTTTACGTTTTCATCAATCTGTGGAAGTGAATCCACGATCCTTTTTTCAACCTAAAAATAGTATCCTCGTTAAAGTAAAAATAAAGCCAAGCAAAAATAAGTAAAAAATATTCAACCTTTTCCCAATTCGATTCCATTATAAACCACTCTTCATCAGTGAATAAGCGTTTAATTGGATTATGAACATTGTCCTCCGGTAAAAATATAATCCGATATCTCCCAATACCACTTTTAATTTCAGAAAGTCTTCCGATAGCCGAATTTAACGAAGTCTAAAACGCAAATAAAGGTTTATTAGATAACAAACAATAATAAAGTATGAAAATAGAAATTCCTGACCTCTACCAATGACAGTTCCTGGCAATATATGTTATCCACATACTGTTCCACTTCAAAATCTGTATCAAGTGAAGATGGAGTAACGGCATGTACAAAATGTTGATCAATTTTTATTATTTTTGACATTTTATTTTCATCCTGAAGTTAAATTATTGTTAATTCATACAAATCACAAAGTGACAATTATTAAAATAAATTAGACCTCAGACAATGTCAGCTCCTCATCTTCATATGCAGTGATTTCTTTCCTTTTGCGATTGTCAGCAGTGAGATCAACAGCAATGTTCTTATGAAAATCCACTACTGTAGAAGTATGTTCTTGCAAATTTTTTGACTGTATAACAAATAAGAATTAGCAAATATCAAAAAAAGTAAATTCTTAACAAAAGATACCTTTATCTCCGCAAGCTTTATAGTTTCGTAGCTTTTTATCTGCGCTAGTCGAACAGTTTCCTCGTCCTTTATTTTCTTCAGATCTTGCAAAGATTTAAAATAATTGCCCTTATTTTTAGCAAATTTCCAGGACTACAAAATTTTACGGTAAATCAAATTTTAAATTTATTCATTACGATACAAGTGATTATTGTTATTTCCCATATAGTAAACTGTAGCGAACTAATAGTTCAAAACCGCAGACGACTAATAGTCCCGAAGTGTGCCACAGAAATTCAAAGACGTTCTTGAACCACAGCGAACTAATAGTTCAACACCCAGACGACTAATAATCCCGTAACGTGCTAATGGCTCAACACAAATGAAAATTAATACTTTCCTTTAGTTTCGAATACATAAAATCAGCCTTCAGTTTGGCATCTTCCGAGAAAGGATTTTTACTCATTTCCTGAATAGCCTTTTTCATGTAATCCAAGAGTTTTTTTTTGTCGCTTGTAACATTAAGGGCACACCACTCGCTCAAACCATCAAGAGACCAACTTTCTAGAGGTGTTTTAGAGAAGAACCCGGTCATCATTTTAAAAAATGGTCGGCGTTACAATTTGTAAAACGCACGTAATTTTTGTCAAAGTTATTTTAACAAATACGCGTGCGCGTATAGTTGTCCAGATCACAAGAACTCCTGCATATAAAAATAGGCAATTCATTGGTTGCACGTGAATATATTGCAGATCGTTACGTATTACGCGAAATTTAAATTTGTAAAACATTAAATAAATTTATTTGAAAATATTAATTTAAAGTCAAAAAAAAAAATTTTTTTTTTAATATTATAAATTATATATAAATTATAAATCAAAATCAAAATTTTACTATAGAAAAAATTAAATATAAAAATAAATAAAAATTTTAAGCTTATAAAAAAATCATAAAATTTTGTTTTTTTTATTATATAAATTAATTTTAAAAAATCTTTAAAATCTTTAAAAATTCTATATTTAATATAAAAATCATATTATTTAATTAAGTTCTATTAAACTTTAAATTAAATTAATTTTTTTTCTTATTACAAACAAGCATTAAATATAGAACTTTATTTAAAAAAAATGTTTATTGTTATATATAAATTATTATTATTATTATTTTAAGGCAAAATGTTTTGCATGCAAATTTTTATTAATATTTGTTATTAGGTTACAATTGTTATATGAAAGATTTAATTAACTAAAAAATATATAATTTATTTTATTATTATTATTATTATTATTATTTTCAGATAAAAGATGTTTTGTATATATGTATTTTTAAAAAAATATATAATTTATATTATTATTATTATTTAATAAATATTTATATTTGAAATAATTTTAATAATATATTTAAAAACTTTATTAAATAAACTTGTTTTTTATATTTTTTAGTATATTAATATAAATTTTTATTTTATTTTATTAATTAGTTATTAAAATAACAAAAAAATAAAAATTATTATATTGTTTAATTATTATTTTTTAAAAAATAGAAAAGTAACATTTCTTTATTTATTTTATATATTGTTATAAAAAAATAATGATTAACATTATGGTTTAAAAATTTATAAAATATTAATTATATATAGGACTTTGAAAAAGTATCGAACTGTTATCGAACTGGTATCAAAATAGTACCGATCTATAGTAAATTTAATATATAGGTTGTGACCTACTTATATATTTTTATAATAAATTTAAGTATCGAACTGGTATTGAAGTAATATCGAAGTGGTATTGTTAGGAGCCTTAATTATATATTATAAAGGTTATTTAAAAAGATAATTAACTTATAACTTTATTATTTATTTATTATTATTATTTTTTTTAAATTTTCTTTTTTTTTTGTTTTTTTTTCTATTATTTTTTTTTGCCTTTATCTTTTTTTTTTTTTCTCTCTTTTCTACCAATATTATATTTTTTTTTCTTCTTAAAGTTTTTTTTTTCTAAACTTTTTTTTTATATCAAATTATTATCTTTTATCTTATTACTTCTCTAGTCAATTAACTTTTTTTTCTTAAGAATTATATTAAAAAATAATAACTTTTCTCAAGTTATAAGCTTTAAAAAATTTTCTTTTTCATAATTTTTTTAAAAAAAAACAAATGGTTTATCTCTTCAAAAAATCAATATAATTATTAATATCTTTTTTTTTTTTTGATAAACATCGGTTCTTTATTATATGTATATACTAAGATATAACTTTGAAAAAAAACCTATATCTCTTATAGTATATGAGTTAAATGCTAGTTTACCAAAATATCTATCTAAACTATATTAGAAAAGAAAATTTAAAACTAATATACTGTTTAGATAATTGTACGATAAACTATGCAATTTTAGTGAAAGATAAAAAAAAAGAAATAAAGAAAAAAGAAATTAGACACGTATTAATATTAAGTAAACAACTTTTTACATCACAACTTTGACTCATGCGGCTATAAAAACAGAGGGGGCTAACGTAGATATGTACTTCCTAGTAAATGCTCCAAAACTGTAATTTTTGGTTAACACAGACTACCAAATCTAGGGGTTTCAAAGGCCAAGTGGAACGTGACTCCAAAATCTCCTAGTAGACACTCCAAAGGATTCAGTTGACTTAAACTGCCAAATCTAGGAGCAAAAACTGCCAAGCAGGACACAACTCCTACATACTCAGTAAGCCGTCAACACTGCCATGTTTAACACACATACATTAGTGTCCACATCATTGTTTTCTTCAAGGTTATCTATTTGATATTAACACGTGATAGGCTGTTGATAATGGTATTGTTGTTGTTGTTATTGTTAATGTTATTGTGATAATTGATAGTGCAATTTTGGTAAGTTGTGATTAATTGGAATATAATGTTGATCTTTTGATGTGGGTAAGCTGATTTCAGTTTTTGTTATAAAAAAAGAAACCAAGGTGCTTCTGTATATATAAGCAAAAAAGATATCAAACCAAAGGTCTTTCTCTATGCAACCTTCATTCACAAGATGCCCAGTTTTGAGGAATTCGACCAAAAGTCCCATCCTTATACAGCTTGAGTCTTTACAACCAAACTCTTAAAATTGGCTCATATGTAACAGGTTTTTAAGATATGTAAGGCTTGTTGTATTGGTATTAGCAGAGGTAACTCTTTGTTTTGAAGAAGCAAAGCTAGTCTTTCATCTAATAAATCTGGGATTTGACCTTCCACCCGTAACACCCGGCTCTACTTAGCCTAAACCTTTTAGACTATTGCGAAAGGGAACAACCAGTTAGCTTCTTTAGAAGAGAATTTTTATTCTCGATAGTGATAAAAGAAGGGAAAAAGTTTCTTTTTAAAGGAAAAGATAACTTGACAAGACCTAAACTTGTCTTGTTAAAGTTTCTTAAAAAGGTAAGTTTTTCAAAAATTTGAGGGAAACGGGAAAGAGTTTTTAGAATTTTTTAAAAATTATTTTAAAATAAATATAATTACATATTGTCTATATTCATTTTTGAAGTATTTCATATTAATTTACTTTTCTGTGATGTTTCTTGAATTTTGGTAGTATATTGTTCATTGTTTGTACTATTATCTTTTTTTTCTTTTATAGTAGAATGTGCACACAGTATATAATTTTTATTGATACATTTATACTGTATATCCAGATAGACATCAAGTGTCTTTTACAAATTAACCAACAATCAGTTAATACAGGATACTCTTTATGTCTCTGCAATTAATCTGCAAGTTAACACTATCTAGTATATATATTATTATAAGACTAGCTATATTAATCACTATTACCCAATGATGTGTCCATTTAAACACCAATAAGATGTGTTTATATATTAGGTGGAACTTTCACAGGAGGAGAATCCTACTACTAGTTTAAACCCACTCAAACCGCTAGTCTATTATTATAAAGAGCGGTGTCTATTATTGCAAAGAGCAGTGTCCATTATTGCTGAGAGCAATGTATCGTTCATACTATTATTATTATTAGAATTTTATGATTCTCTGTAGAATGCTTTGTTGCTTTGTAATTTTTTCTGTAGAATTGTAAAATTAAATAGATTATATTAATTAAACTATAAATTTATCTTGTTTTTTAGTATTTCGAGTTTCATCAAATTTTTTTTAATTTGAATTATATTATTTTCAGAATTCATAATCGTTTCACATATAAATATTGCAAAGGCAATATACTTGTCAGAGATTTCTTCTTTAGGCCACAGAATTTGCACCATATAGATACCTTCATATGTATTGTTTTTAAATAGTTCTTTAAAGCACTTCACAGTTTTTGACAAATTTTTTCATGCTATAATATCAACAGAGCCAATTGCAGTGTTAATTGAATCTAACAATGTTTCACCAAACACCGCAAACATTGCATCCTGAATTCTTAAAGCCAAAATACTACAATTCGATCAATGTTGTTTTAAAAGCTATTAAAAAATATAATTAGTATTTAATTTATTTTAAAGTATTATACATGTTTTAAAATCTTACTAATTGGTAAATATATTTTTTGTAATATGTTTTCCATTGCTTTTATAATAATACATTAAAAAACTCTGAATGTTTACAGCTAAAAAAATTCTCTGCTTTTTCATAATATTCTATGGATTTCTGATAAACTTTTTCAATAAACAGTTTTTTTGCAATGTTCTTAATAGCATACTAAAAAAAAATGTAAGTTAAATTCTCTGAAGTATTCTACAAACTTTCATACCTCTATAAAGTCTTGTTCTGTGATGATGTTGTTTTGTGAATACAGTTCATTTTTCAGGTGGGTAATTTTATCCTTCAAGATATTCTGACAATCAATTATAGAGTCAACCTTTTTTAAGATTAAAGAACTTTGTTCTGCAAGCACTTCGAGACTTCACTAGTACTAAAGAATTCTTGATTAATATTGATTAAAAATGTATTTATACTAATATAATATATTTGAAAATCTTTTATTTTCTTTCCAAGCCCACAGTTGTCTATTCACTTATATAATTACTTCTAAACTCACCTCAGAAGTCTTCGCACGCTTTTGTAACCCTTCAATGCCTTTATGTTGTGTAGTTTCCTGAATGTTTTCGATATCTATTGGATTATTTTTGGATTTTCCAGACTTCTTTATATATTTCTTACTAGAATTGTATTCCTTTAATTTTCTCTTAGAACCTGTAATTAATGCATTAAATTTATTACATCTGTTTTGTTTTTGTTCAAACATTTTTTTTTAAAAAAAAAAAATTTAGAAACCTTATATATAAATGATTTTTAAAATGTAATCATAAAATGTTGTTATATATTACAACCTTCTTTATAATTATCTATCATAAATTGTAATTTCTTAAAGAACTCTGATATATTAAATTATGATATAATACAAAAATGTGTTTATATAATTTATACAGATTTAAATTAAATTTTTCATTGACTGAAATCATTTGTTTTTTATTGACTAAAATTATTTATTTTTTATTGATCTTATGATCTTTAGAATATTTTGAAGTTCATCAAAATATCTTATAGATGTTTATTTTGTAAAAAGTTTTTTTCAAAACATTCAAATTATTCTAGGCATGTCAATA